TAGTTTATACAAGAACACAATAATAATAATAATAATAATAATAATAATAATAATAATAATAATAATAATAATAATAGTAATAATAACAATAATAAAACTACTAAGAAAAATAACACTCTAAAAGACAATGTAAATCACCATTAAATAATGAATAATTATTAATAGCTGAAGAGGGGAGACAGTCTACAAGCCGGGCCACACAAACACACATTTCCACTAAATGAACTCAATCCTCTTTGTCTCTTGGATTGTCATCATCAGTATAAATCTTAAGTACTCTCTCTTTCCTATAGTAACTGTAGCTTGAATGACTGCTTGATGACGATGACCCAATACCATATACGCCAACACTATTGACCCTAAAGTGTGAACATACACATGAAACCATATCTGGGTTACTAGTCTTAACAAATATTTGATCTGGATTTTCCTTGAAAGCATGATCCAGTACATTCATTAATAGCAAACAATATGCAAGCTAAAGATACAGGACTACAGGCAGGGAATCAAATGCAACTGAGAATTTTTTTAAAACACATCCTTCCCAATAATAGGACCCTCCAACAAGATAAATTGAATATTGATAATCCACAATTAGCTGTAGAAAGAGTTTTATTTATATATCTAGTACTTCCATAGCTGCACATGCATGTGTAGTAAACTGGAAGATTTTAAACAATGGTAGCATTTGATGCTATTTAATAGACTAAAGACTATACTAGTATATCACTTTAGCTTTGCTTTTGGCTTTGCTAATAAAATCAATTAGTACTATTGCTTAACCTTTGTCATATCCACTTATGTAAATTGTGATCAGACACAAGTAGACTTTGTATGGGAAATGACATCACATACTAGATCTAGTGATACAATATCAACATTGAACTAAACATCCTGTGATACTAGAGGTATAACAAACAAACCTAATTATATTACTGTAAAGGGCTTTATTTTCGCTTTTTTAATGGATCCGTAAAAATTTCAATTGCCATTAATGGTGTGGCACTATAATATTGCAAACCCGCAAAAGCTATTTCCACAAAAAATTGATTTTTATCAATCAGTAAAATTTTAGCTCTGCAAAATTAAAGCGCTATACGGTAGTCTATAGATTAAAAGTAGCTAGAGATCTAAGCAACATAAGAGTTAACATTTTCATTGATGCATAGAAAGCATTAGTCTTGCTCACTGGCATAGGTCTAGTATACGTTTCCTACATGCAACTCTAAGAACTACAAGCATGTCTAGAGCTGTTCAGTGACAGTGTGTGTACATGAATTGATTGATCATAATGACAAAAAATCTGCAGCCTTCATATTCTACCTATATTATTCTTAGCTTGAAAGACACACAGTGTTCATCTTGTAAACATATTTTCCTTTATACTACAAACAGTTGACATTACCTTCGATAAAACTGAAACTCAAACAGATAAGGAGTAAAGTTAGAAAGAAATGTCTCTGAGCAGAGCCAACAGTAGAGCCATGAGAGTGCAGCAACATGTTATAATTCTTCAAGTATAGTATCATGTACAGCCTGCATTATTTTATGGATGCAGTAACCTCATATTTATACACACTTCATAGCAATGATATAACTTTAGGGTGGAGCTGGTATTCAAATTGAAATATAAAGAGACAGAAAAGTATTATTCATATAGAATCAGCATTAACCTATTCTGACAGAAAATAAAAGAAATGTAGACTATTGAAATAAGAGCATGTACTAAATAGTACAAAAATATAAAACATATAACATCAATGAGCTCAATAAGGAGGTGGTGGTTCATCACGAATGCCAGTAGACTCATCAGTACCAGGGTTTGTTCTTCCATATCCTTGTGGCTCCTGCTGTGGATACCCAACTAGTGCTTCTTGCTGCTGCTGCTGTGGATAAGGTACTTGCTGGGGATAACCAGTTTGAGAATAATCCTGTTGAGGATATCCTTGTACAGCAAAATCCTGCTGCTGC